CCCCCCAGATTTGCAATAACCATACACCGGCTATTTCCTCAAGACACTCTATTCCATATACCTTTTACCCGTGCTTTTCCTACACTACGGACGCCCTAGTGTATGTACAGTCCGTATGATGTCAGAAATGCTTACCCCTCTTTCCGACTCAAGGCATACAAAAGCGGAGGGTAAATTTACCCCCCAGATTTGCCGATCACGCATCTTCGTGCCTGCCAACGAGTGCACCCGGGTTGTTCCAATGTACCCTTCCCAGTCAGCGATGTCACATTTACATTCTTTAGCGCAAAGTATGTACATAGCAACCTTCCTCCCAAAACATGTAATCCCTACATGCTTTGCCGACTATGTAACTAGTACATCCGGTGCGATTCGGCTAGCTTTCGACCTCTCCCCCTGGCCTCAAGTCACTGGAGTCACTGTAGAAAGTGCAGATGTACAATACTCATCGAGAGACGCGGTTCAGAACGTTACTCACATGTGGCCCAGTCGGGGAATTTGGAGTTACCCACAGACCACTGTCTATTGAAAGAGTGATGATCTTTCTCTATTTTCTAAAGGTGTTCAACTGTACAAATTGAACAACTGGTTCAACGGGCCATTTTTATGCCGCAATTTAATGGTTTCAGAGTAGATGGTCCTTATAAACGTGATAAACCACCGAATTTGGGGCTAACTTGTGCCATCGAACTTCTAAAACCGTAAATCAATGGTGCCGCATTCAGAGCAGCTGGGCATTTGCATGGGGTCCGAACCGACTTGCGGAAGTGCCGCCTGACTGGGCACTTCGGTCACCGAACGACAGAATCAAAGCACCTGAAGTGGCGTGACTTCCGGAAGGCTTCTTGGTGTGCAAACATGGGCTTCTTCCCCCACACAACCAACTCAATTGTGCATGTCTTCTCCTGGTGCGGGATCTTGAATAGCTGAATAGCTGAAGATAGAAGGGTTTAGCGACCGCAGCCACGTTGCAGCCTACTTCCCTCTGAACAAAAAGAACAGGAAAACCAAGCACAGGACGTCAACCCCAGAAGCAAAAGCTTGGCTTTTGGAGCTTTGCTTTCCGCTTTTTGGTCCTAGCAACCTTGATCCTCGCCCCGCGCCAGGACCTGGCTTCCCAGCGTTTTGGCGCTCCTCCTTCGAGCGTCCCCGCGCAGCAGCCGAGTGCTGGCGAAGGGCGCTAGTGGAGAGCTGGGGCAGCTCCTACATGGTTTGCCACAGGTGGGGCCGGGAAAGGAGCGAACAGTCAGACTTTGGCACCTTCACAAACAATCTTATGAAGAAAGGTCTAAAGATAGAAAGGCCTGCAAAGCGAAGATTTGTCCGGGCCATCCATCATCCAGAAACACCATTGAAACTGGTAGGAGGGTTGACCATGCTCGTTTGCGTAGGAGTTCGCCCACCAGCACTGGTATGTATGAGTAGAGCTCTGCCGTCACTGCCACTGAACGCATCCGATCCGCACCGGTGCATGAAAAGAAGGTGATGCCCTACACTAAGACCTGTGCCTCGGCATGAAGGCAGTTTATGGCGGGTCGAGTGAGAGGAAACGAAGAAAAGGTGTGGTATATTCGATCTTCTCCGGTGTTTCTTTTTCTAACATGCAGGTGGGTTGAATCATTGTACATTCACCCCGTGTCCTTTCTCAAGCTCATTTTGCTGGCACACACGGAAGAAAGAATGGGCAGTACAAGGCCCTTTCGTCCAACATGTTGTAAAAGTGGCAGGTATTGAAGGCTGAAAACATACCGGGGCCATTTCGGAGGCTCAAATTAACATCGACTGCTTTCGCACACGCCATGCGATGTTATAGGTCTAGTTCGTGTTCTTGCTTGTAAAAGAGCTTGTTCCACCTTGGGCATTCTATAAATCACACTTTTCCCAGCACGTTCACAAAAAAGCTAGTGTACTTTGGCAACTGTGTGGTCAGATCATGTTGTGATTCCTAGGTTTGTTCGCGCTGTGCCTCCCATGACCCTTCCAATGGGCATCAGGGACTGACTGACCTTTTTTTTCCCTTCCCCTACAAGTCAATGACCTCATTTTACTGGAGTTGGTCATACAAAAACACTGTTCAAGAAGCTAAAGGACCTGGTTTTACTGGGTCAGACTGGACGAAGGTAGGGTTCTCTTTTGGCCATGCCATTCACGATCTCGGTCCATTCAGGCGACCAGGGAAACCCGGCAGGCTCGAGGTTCCGAAGTATTTCCTGGCGATCCTGGAGCCCAATCAATACCAGGCAGACTCGCATGTAATGCCTAGGGCTTCAGAAGGTGATTAGAACCCCCCTCAGAAGGTAGTTGGAGCCCTAGGGAATATAGACTTGCCATGGATGTGGCCAAAACTTTACAGAATTATACCAGAGGTCTTGTTGACACCCTTCTATCACTCTGGTGATAAGTGCTATAACATGCTTTTGGGGTCAAGCAATTGGACGTCCATTCCCGTTATTCGGACTGGACCTGAGTACTACAAAGTGAGCGGTGTTGAAGTCGGTGATTTGGAGATTGGCCATGGGCCCAGGCAGGATTTTGAGAAGTTTCTCCCACCCTTCACAACCATGTGTTTTTCTTTTTTCGTCGAACGGTTTGGGTGGGAGTAGGGCAATGTCTCATATGAACTCTGTATATGATGTACATGTACATGTATATATATATATATATACCATCATCTGTTTTGTGTTGGCAGGGGGGCGGGGGTTGGCCTTTCGAGGCAAGAGCCTTGCCGTGGGCAAGCTGAATGTCACCAAGTTGCCTCATGGCTTCGGCCCGTCGTTCGCGGGGTTGGAACCGAAGGGGCCCGATGCCGAGTTGGGGTTGGAAGGCGACATGATTCCCATGACCCATGGGATCCCCAAATATAAGGAACCAGGGCTTGTAGGTCTATGGTTTGTAGGTTTATGGTTTGTTGGAACCACTGGTGACCAGCGACATCGTGGTTTGCCTGGATGCTCGGGGTTTTCGAGTAAGGCGATGCCCAGTACACCTATGGGACGGCCCACACCAATGGGACGTCCCGCAGACTTGGTCACTTTGACTTGTCCAAGAACTTTCTCATTTTATCCCCCAACAGTTCATAGGACAAGGAGGAATATGTTGGCTGACGCTGGATTTGGCTTGAAGATGGGAGAATGTGAGAGGTTCCATATGGCTTCATCATGCTTAGATCAGCCATGATAACATGAGATAACCTGGCATGTGTGGAACGGTATCAAGGGTCATCACCTTAGGGCGGTCTGGGCTGGTTCTGGAGGTTCAATCCCAGAAGCAAGACGAGCAGAACCACCTGGACTCTAGAAGTGCAAAGCACGTTTGGCCTTGGAGGTGCCGTCGTGTGGGTAGGAGGACCACTTAGATCCCTATGGTCCCTATCCCTACACCTCCGTTTTCGTAGCTCCTCAGGTTCGGTATGACTGGCCCCTCCAAACCCACCCCAGTCCCAGCTTCGAAACGCTTCGGTCCGACTGGAGGGCCATGAGATGGAACTTTGGGATGGAAAGGGGTTTCGCTTCTTCCCTTCGAGGACGTGTCAACTGCTGGAACGCCTGGTCTTCCCACCGGCGAACGCCAGCTTGTGGCTGGGCGATGGGGGGGTGGTGGGAGTTGAGGGGATAGGGCCGGGGGCACGACCCAGCAGCTTCTTTTAGGGCAAGCAGCTTCCGCAGTTTCCGCACAAATATCACATGTTTCACCTGATGTTTTAGGTGTCGCTTCGTCGGATCCAATGGGACGATAACATGAGTCAGGGGCTTCTTCACCCACGCCGTCAGATCTGCTTCACCCACTTGAGGCTGCTTCACCTGTCGCTGCCTATGGATGGTGCGACATGTGCGACGGATGCAGCACAGTCCAAGAGCTTCCTGCAGAATCTGAAGGCGTTGGAGGCAGAACTCAGGGAAGCAGATCCGGTCTCCACGCTGGAGACGTGGCGGAATTGGCCCAAACACCTATGCCTATAGTTGATCCTAATTGCTTAAGCACACTTTTTTGATTGAACGCCTTTGGCACACATGAAATGATAACCGCAGCCTTGTTTTGTTGGGGGTTGATGAGCCACTCATTCATGTAGAAACCCTCAAGCCTTTGGGGAATCTGAAGGGCTCAGGCCACCTTCTCTCCACTGCCAGGCTTTGGACTGAAAAGGGGGGGACGTCACGAAGGTAGGACGCTTCTTATCCTCAAACGATTCTTTTTCGCAAAGATGGAGCACAATTCGTGTGTTTGGAGTCGATTCGATGCCGTCGGAATTCTTTTGGGATGCCTGGATTCTGAAATCATGCGCAGCTGCCGTTGAATTCTTGGAACACATTGAAGTCCAAGACTTGGCGCGGCGCAAGCTTTCTTCAGCCTCGCAGTCCTTCCGTGTCTGAGGACGTCATCGTCATTGAGGCACAGAAGCCACTTGGCCGAGACGGATGTCAGTTCGTGCCTCCGGTCCTTTAGTGGGGAACCGGGGCTGCAGTTGCTTGACATGTCGCCCAGGTTCTGGGACCCCAAACAACGGGAAGCAACAGGGTTTTTCCAGTATGG